AATTTATAGAAAACACACTAATATATTATCACTAATTTATTTTTGTTAAATTCACCTTGAAATATACCTTAATAGTGCATTTATTTAGTATCTTAGGTATTAATCTATTTTTATGTAAATTTAGTAAAAGCTAGATAAATTTTGCTTAGGACAAAACTAAATAGCCTATATTTCGGAATTCGGAATGGAAGCACTTATGAGCCGTTTGGCAGGGCTTCTCCACCAGCTTCAGGAACCGTTTGGAGTCGTTTTCTGCCAAACGAGGTAAAGTGAAATAGTTTCACTGGTAAAGCCCCTAAAAACATGCTCTCACAATGATTTGGGGTGGGATGGAGCCAAAAAAAAAGTGGCTTCTCCCGGCTCCTCCTCCAGACCTCTAAAAACATGCTCTCACAGAGAAACCATTTTGCCAAACGGTTTACCAAAACCGCTTCAACTCCACTGGTGGAACTGTTCGTGAAGCTAAAGCAAAAAAAAAATGACTTCACTAGTGAAGTGAAGCCCTGCCAAACGAGGTCTTACTTTATCAAGTTGAACTAGAGAAGATCCATGTATATCCATTGGAGTTCCATTCCCATCCCTGCGTCTGATCCCCCTTGCTTGCTTGTTACCATGGCAAAATTATAGTTGAAAACAAACTCAGCGTTAGTGAGTTACACATACTCACTACATTCTCTCATCCTCATCAATCTTTTTTTTCGAAAAGCCACAGGCAAGAAAAAAATCGGGCGTGTATTAAACTATTAATATAGAAATCAATCAATTTGAGCAATAGTAAACACGCATTTACAAGTCGTGGGACAAGAAAGATGTTGAGCGATGTGAAATGTGTTTGAATTTGCATTTCCACTACACCGACACAATCATGCATGTTTAATCGTCAAATGCCACTTGACATGGGTCCATTTCGTGCAATTGTATCCACTATAACACATAGCCTTTTTTTTATTACTGAAATAAATTTGGAAAAACTGTAAGTACTCGTTGCGAGTCGAGTAACCAATGAACAATCTCGGTTCGGCCATTTAAGTTTTTCAAATATTGATATTAAATTTCCAGCAGAATTTACGGGACGACCAAGCTTGACACAATTTTCTTTTTTCGTGGACTGTTCTTTCACAAATCTGGTTATTACGAATACGCCTTCATACTCAGTAGACGTAATCTACTGAGTCCGCCTTCTGTCTTCAAGTGACGAACTGATGATGAAAGTCATGAAACGCTCTCCCCCTTCACTTCAAGCGATCTGCTCCGCTCCGGCCGGTCGCCGCGACGGCGTCAGCTCGCTCCCCCACTAAAACCCTAAGAGACTTTTCCCTGTGTGCCATTATAAAAGATCGCAATCCCCTGTGTGCCCCTGGAAAAATTCAGCGGTCTTCAGCGCCACTACTTCAACTTTTTCGGGTCCTCCATGCCACTTCCGTCAGTTCAGGCTCTAACGCCGTTAAAGTGCAGGTGTGAAAAGACGAAAATGCCCTTAAGTTCAAATATGTTATTAATTTTTTTTGAGCATCTTAACGACTTCAAATGAAAAAACTCAAAACTAGAAAGTTGTAGATCTCGTCGAGATCTATAATTTTCATATAAAAATTATTTTCATTTAATTCCGCAAAAAAATATGATGATTTTTCTAAGATATATTAATCATATCAAATCATATTTTTTTTGCGGAATTAAATGAAAATAATTTTTATATGAAAATTATAGATCTCGACGAGATCTACAACTTTCTAGTTTTGAGTTTTTTCATTTGAAGTCGTTAAGATGCTCAAAAAAAATTAATAACATATTTGAACTTAAGGGCATTTTCGTCTTTTCACACCTGTAGTTTGACGGCGTTAGAGCCTGAACTGACGGAAGTGGCATAGAGGACCCGAAAAAGTTGAAGTAGTGACGCTGAAGACCGCTGAATTTTTCCAGGGGCACAGAGGGGATTAGGATCTTTTATAATGGCACACATGAAAAAGTCTCAAACCCTAATGGCGTCCCGCCTCCTCCACCTCCGCCGCCTCCTGACTCCCCCCTCCCCCCTCCCCGCTGCCTCCTTCTCCACCGCTGTCACCCCGACCCCGCGCGTCTCCGCGCTCGTCGACGAGATCTGCGGGCTCACCCTCCTCGAGGCCTCTTCCCTCGCCGACGCCCTGCGCGGTCGCCTCGGCGTGGACCAGCTGCCCCCACTAGCTATCCTCACGGGCGGCGCCGCGCCGCTCGTCGGCGGCGGAGCAGGTCCCGGGGCGGCCGGCGAGGAGGCGAAGGCCAAGGAGGAGAAGATGGCGTTCGACGTGAAGCTGGAGGGGTTCGACGCCGCGGCGAAGCTCAAGATCATCAAGGAGCTCAGGGCGTTCACGAGTTTGGGTCTGAAGGAGGCCAAGGAGCTCGTGGAGAAGGCGCCCGCCGTGCTGAAGGCCGGAGTTCCCAAGGAGGAGGCGGAGAGTATCGCCGAGAAGATGCGGGCGGTCGGCGCCAAGATTGTTCTCGAGTGAGACGACGAGAGCTGTGTATGCCCTCGTTTCTTGATTTTTGTTTCTTGTACGAAAAAGAGAGAATTTTGGAACAAGGAGTCAATAATTAGTAAATTTGACTGGAGATCTTTTCACTGCCAGTGCAAACACCAATTGGGCTTCGGGGAATACGAATTTAGACTTAGTGATCAAGTTTTAAGCTCTGTATCAATGCTTTTTATGAGATATATGACATATAGTGAATTCGTAGCATCAGAGTTCCTCTTTTGCTGATTCTATTTTTTAAGGAGAGGATTGCAATTAGATGGCTTTCACTTGCCGATCTGTGGTTGCTGCAATCATTGATATCTTTAGGTAAGGTTTTGCAAGTAAGGATACTTTGAACTGTTAAGTTGTTTGCACTGGGACAAAAACTGGTACTTCGGTGAGTTATCATTTCTGGCAATATTTTTTTGTTGAACAACGCAGGAGAGATTCACGTCATTTCAATAAGTATATTTCTGGCAATATTTGTTTGAACTATGAACTTATAGAAGTTTTCATCTAGAGGGGAGTAGTCTGCTGAAATATTGTGGTCTAGAGTACTTTTATGTGCACAAAAATGTTTATAAAGTTTTGAAATGTTTCAGCTGAGGTAGTCGAAGTCAAGTGTTAAGATGAATGTAATGTTGCTATCTTGTAGTTGAAGTCTGGCCATTCATAAGATTCCAAGAATGGTATTGAGAATCAATCTAGTTCTGTGCATGCTCAGGGCCATGCTTAACAGTTAATTAACAAATATTATGTTTCTGAGAACCCTGTTCATTATGCATGAGTGAGTTCATTTCCACAATAATTTCTGGCTGGCTGCTGTAGTCGCATTTTGAATCAAATTGGTGGTATTGTGTTTCTTAAGATAGGTGTTACTTTTTCTTTTGCAGAATTTGGTTTGAAATTTGAACTACTAGAGACTCTACTAGTTGGAATGATCGTGGCCTGGTGAAACTACTTTTATAGCACCACAGTTTGAGAAATACGTAACTTTGATCTGTTGAGCTGAGGTTGTCAATTGGGCATATGAATGTAGAGTTGCTATATCGTGGTTATAGTTGAGATCTTGCTAATGTCCCATGTTTGGAGTCAATGTTCTGGGTATCAAAACCGGGTATGCTTAACATTTGATTACGCTTGTGGAACTTCTGTTTCAACAGTAATTTTTGGCTAGCTTAAAATAGTTGACTTGTGAATCTAATTAGTTGTTTCTGCAGAATTACCAATGTTATCACCAATAATTGCTAAGGTCTTCAAATTCTTCTGTATACAGTTGTGATAAGGAGTTTCTGAAATAATTAGCTAGATTCAGCATATAGACGGGTGGGAATGCCAAGGAGAAAGGAAAAGCTCCATTGGAGCGCATGGCCTGGCAGGAGAAAGTGGTAGTAGATAGATTGCATAGCATGGGTATCCTAAGGGGAATTTTCTTTAAGAAAGTCATTTCTTCCCATCAAGATTTCAGAAATGCAAGCACTGCAACGTTGTGGAAGAAAATTAATCATGCTTAACCTCTGGACCAAATGAAGCGAGACATTTCTCATATAGTTCTGCTAACTAAATCTCAAGTGTTGTCTGAATACGCCGTTCTTATCCTACATAAATTTGTGCAATTGGGCTCTTAATCTCGTTGTTGTACCATGGTACCTTGTAGGTTGTAGGATTAGACAAACCAAAGTAATCTCCTTTGCATATTACACTTGCTACATTTCTGCTTTGAAGGCAAATTTAAATCTTCTGACATGAGAGTAGTTAGTATTGTAAATCTCAGTGTACTAATTGAAAAATGTGAGTTGAGTTTGGAGAAGACAGGTGAAAAACATTACTTCGTTCTGTTGCTAAATAATTTAGTATTGTTGAATAAAAAGAGTTTGCATCATGTTGTAACATTCTGATGATTCATGTGAGTAATCATGACCAATCTTGAAGTTATTTTGGATAAAAGCTCTGTGGATTGTAGCTTTCTTGTACATTGTGCATGTACTAGTTGTGACTTGTCATTGTTTAGCCAGCAATGTGTTGTGTTGTGAAATTATGAGATTTGATAGCACACGGCCCTGCTCGGCGGCCCTTTTTTAGGAGCGGGGCAACCGTGGCTTTTTGCTACTACAGTTCTGCTGAGGGGTGCTGCTGTAGCAGCAGCTGCAGCAACCACTTCCGATTCATTTTCAACTGTATTGAACTGGATGTTGAACTTTCTAGCAGAATTAGCTCTGTTTTTTTTTTTTTTGTAATTTTTGTTTCACTCTCTGTGTTCCTATTTTTTATGGCACTGCCTGTGTTCATATAAATTTATCCATCAATGGTTGAATGTAACTTCTAAGTCACCTGATGATGGAATCATATGGAGCCACTGAATCATTGTTTATGACACAATTCGTTTACTTTTTGCAAGATGACTTGGGTTCAACAGAAATTCTCCCAATTATGTAAGTACGTAAAGGGAGAGACCTTTTATTCAACATCAAGACATATCTTATTGTTTGGCCATACAAAAGAGGCCGCCGATCAGGTTCTTGGGCATTTCTCCACTGTCCCGTCCTTCAAGTAGATGGTGCAGCCGTCCTCGTTGGCCAGGCAGCAGTTGCACGCCGGGCTGAGCTTCGCGTTGCCTGTGGACGGGCACGTCATGTAGTCCGCTTCCAGGCAGATCTCGATGCACACCTTCCCGTCCTTGTCCTTTGCTTCCAATCCTGGAGTGGAGCCCATCACTATGAGCCCTGCATAATTAAGAAATGAGCATCATTCAAGACGGAGCAAGAGAACGATGGCAGAGAAGAATCAAAGCGAGAAGAGAGGGTGTAGAGCCAGCTTACCACACAGCAGGAGAGCCACTGGAAGAAGTCTGGAAGAGCAAGATTTGATGGTGGCCATGTTCACAGCTTCTGATGGTGGCCATGGTCTCTGCAGTAGTGAAGTTTATATATAGTGTATAGGAAGCTTGGTCAATATATCCTGCAGCAGCACCAAAAAAGAGAAGATTGAAGATATGCAACTTGTGTGAAGGCGAGCTGCAATAAGTCAGCAAAATCTGGCTTTGCGTCTGACTAGCGTGTATTTCTGATTTCTCCTTTTGACTTTGTAGGTAAGCACTGACCCAGAATTTAAGAGTGTGATCTGGATCCAAGCTAAGATGGTCTAGTCAAAGAATCGTCACTCTTCTTTCTTGTAGATCTTGAAAAAAAATAATCGTCACTCTTTTCTTTCTTGGTGAACCTGAAATGCTGTTTACTATTTATTGAGACGTGAGATCCATATACGTAACGAGCAGAAGGAATAATACCATAGTACAAATAGCTCAGATCCATACATTATTACCAACTCATGTTTTCGTTCTCACTTTACGCAAAAGAATTAACCGGGGATGGTGATAATGATTCTATAACCTTTATATGTTGGTCTAACCCACATTCAACAACCAAGGTGATATTAAACCCAACAATCTCATCTCAATACATAATACGGACCACTATGGGCCAAATCCAAACTAGACTCAGGGCATGCTTGGTTCCTAGGTGTGGCTAGCCTTGCCTGGCCTCACCTCTCTAGCTCAAGCAACAAGAAGCTTGTCCACCTAGGAGAGCCAATTTGGCTCTCTTGCAAGGATAAGGGCAAATCTTTTCAACAACCAAGGTGATATTAAACCCCTATAATCTCACATTAATACATAATACATGTCACTATAGACTAAATCCAACCTGATTGAAGGCATGTTTGGTTCCTAGGTGTGGCTAGCTTGCCTTGCCTCATCTCCTTGGTGCAAGCAACGAGAAGCTTGCCCATCTAGGAGACAATTTGGCTCTCCCACAATGGCAAAGCAAATCCTACCCACACAGGTCCCTAAGTACTCTGGCTAGGCATCCAAACAAATAAGTTGGCTTTATATCCTCGCCCAGCGAGTCAACATAGTTGCTAGGTGAAGAAGTATAACCAAACAGCCCCTGAATGTCACATATATGACCCCTCCTTTTCTCAATTGGGCCAACGTCCTCGTTAGTCCAACACAGTTACAATTGGGCAATGACCGGAACGATGACCAAAAATATTTCTTCTTTGTACATGCGATCGTGCATCCAGTACCAGCACATGTGTGTGTCCGCGAAGGCCAACCTAGATACCATTTACACACCCCTAGAGTTCAAACAGCTTAGATACACTATGCACGTTGAGTGAACCACGCATTACCACCAACTTATACTTTTGTCCCTTACTTCACGTAAAAATGTCAACACAGGGATGGTGGCAAGGACTCTAGCTAAAAACTTTATATGTTGCTTCCACTTTCAACAACCAAGGTACAACTAAGCCCCTACAATCTCACATCAATACATAACATGGTCAATATGGACCAAATCCAAACTGGTCCAGATGTCACTGGATGAATGTAGATAAAACATTAATAGAATGGCTCTGGTACACATATTTCAAAAAATTACACGGATCTTAAAACACGCCATTAATTAATTAGCAACTTTATTCATTAATTGGTACGCCTGAGTACAAGGAGAATAGGTTGATCTTGAGCAATATACCAAGTAATCTCTGTCCTTTGTTTTCTAGCTGTTACCGCACACAAATTCATTTCTAATTATGATAAATCGTCTTGTTTTGTTGTAGGTCAATCTTTGGGTTCTGTAAGCTGCTGGCCTGGTGTGATGAAATGACTCGCCAAATATCAGAACTCAGCTATTGGCTACTGCAAGGTGACATACGAGGTTAAAGGCTTGGAGCACTGAATGTGTACTCCACAAGTAGACTGTTGTTAAACAACGAATAGAAGGTGGAAGATGGTTCCGCGTACAAATTCTTGACAACAACTCAGATAAAATGGATTGCATTACTATCTGGAACATATGCAAATGCCAACTTGGAATGCATGCATTAGCATTACTTTTTTTCTTTTTCTTTTGCATTGGAGCTGCTTATGTTAGTTTCTCTGCCATACGTGCTATCGTGAAGTAATTTTCTGGCGAAGCCTATCTCTCTATTTGAGGATATACAATGCTCGAGAACTTGTCAATCAATTGCTATGAGATTTTTTTTCACGACCGTACCACGAGGTACGTAATTGCTATGAGATTGGCTTTGATAACTTCTACTGTACGTAGATGGGTGCATGCCCAACTACTTCTGCACATGTTCTGGCATCCTAACGAGGAAGATATAAGGGATAATTGTAAGTTAGCTAAAATTAGACAAAATTAGCACTAGCCCCTAGTACATTTAAAAAGAGAGCTAATAGGTGTTGGCCATACCTTTAATTGGTTGTTAACCATTAAGCTTGCCAACTATATCTATATCTATATCTCTTATAAAGTTAATTTCCACTAGAAGTTCTATCTCAAACATGCAAGTCATCCCCATCATTTTCACTAATTATCCACATCCCCATTTAGCCATGTTATCTCACTAACTTTCAATCTCTTAATGCAAGCTATCTACGTCATCTCCACTTAATTTTATTTTAAATTCTTATAACCCTGACAGCAGCACAAGGTATCTTATAGTTTAGGCTAATTTTTAGGATTAGCCCTAGTGATCTAAACATATCCTAAGTAGGTGATTGTACAGTTCATCGTATGTGGCTAAGGCCCTATTTGTTTTAACCTTTGTTTGGTTTTTGCCACCAAAAGCTAAAATAAGCAACCTAGCTTTTGAGTTGGCTTTTAAAAAAAAACTAAAAGCTAAAAAAATGTTTTGATGATTTTTTTTTTGTTTTTGTTGTCCTAAAAAGCTTAAATTTTATTACAAAAGCCAAAAAAAAAGCAACCAAAAACTAAAAGCAAGAAAGCCAGCTTTTAAGCTATCTCGAACAAATAGGCCTTAAAGATTTGAGACAATCCAGAGTCCAATTTTTTTTTCTTCGCCCCGCCACAGTCTAGTTTTGAATTTCCGAATTAGGATTTCGTTTGAGAACATTATACACGATTCGAGTTGGTAGGAGCCTAGAACCGCAAGCGCAGACTCGTGGCCTGTTCGCTTGAACTTATCAGCTGATTTATCAACTAGAATCTACAGTATTTTTCTCTCACAACAAATCAGCTTCAGCCATCTTATCAACCGACTTTAATACCAGCCGAACATGCCCGTTTTCAATCTCAATTCTCACGGGTTCATCATAACAAACTTCACACGCTACTTTATCATGACGGAGACATCACATTCGCAAATCCATATCCATATATAGCGTACTCGTAATGTTGATTTCTATTTTCTGCTTACTTATCAGAAGCGGAAAACACAGAACGCGTAGGCTCGTGAGTTCTGACGCCCCACGGGCAGACAAGTACACCGGCAGTGTATATGTCTCCACTCCACCATCACACGTGCGCGCCTCTCGTCCATCCTCCACACGTGCGCTCAAACCGCCCCTGTCCGCGGCCCGCCCCTGTCCGCACGCATCTCCACCGTCCGATCCCCAGCCGATGGCGGCGGAGCCCGCGGCGGACGACCACGATCCCCGGCCACCCCTGGCGGATGGAGCCGCCGCTGCCGGCGGGGGCGACGCCTCCTCGTCCTCGGCGTCGGCGGCGGCGGAGGCGCTGATGAACGCGGCGTCGGAGCAGCTAACGCTGGTGTACCAGGGCGACGTCTACATCTTCGACCCCGTCCCGCCCCAAAAGGTCGCGCGTCTCTTGCACCCCTGCAAATTCCATCGCCCCTCCCAAATTCTCTCTCCTTGGTTCCTATATGCTGTGTTGACTTGTTGCGATCGTCGTTAATCGTTCTTGGCCGGAGATTAGCGTGCTCCGGGCGCCGGCTATGAATTCGCAAATATTGTTCCGGCTTTGCAGAGGCGCTCTGCTGTCGAGTTGCACATAATCAAATTCTGTCTTTATCGTCCTTGATTGAATTCTAAGGGGACAGTTTCTGATTTGCTATTGTGAATTGACCATATCCCTTTGTCCCCTTGCTGAATTGCACCAAAGAATATGCGTACTATATGATATGACTGTGCTTTTGGTTATCCTGTAAGGGGAGGGACTAATGTTATTATGAATTGGTTTGGCCATTTTTCGATCAGTATGGATATACCGTTCTACTGTTCGAGTGGAATCGAGCTGAATGCTTGATTGCTGAATCGTACTGTTTTCTGTATGATCTTTTTCAGTGAAGGTTGGTCCGTTCCTTTAATAGGTAGGCAGTTTTTGTGTGTATTGATATTGATATGTTTTTAGTTGCGTTGTGGTGTAGTCACGTGTTTGCTGAATAGTGGAGTAGATGTCTTCTTTCTTCTGCTACTATTATAACGTATTTGTGTTTATGTTATATTTGCTGAATAAAATTCCAATAGAAGCTTGCATATTCTTTTTTTATATCAGAAGATATATTCTTTGTTCCTTAAGTCTTATTAGTGTTGTGATCCCAAATATGAAAATTTGCAAGCATGTTTCATCGTGGTCCTGGACTAAACTGGATTCATTCATATGATTTACTTTTCTCATTGGCAAGCTGAGGATTCTTTTTGTTCTAGTTATTAGGGAAGATTCTTTGGAAAGCTGGAGGCAACTAAATTAGGAAGCTTCTGTAAGTGAGAAATTGAGATGATTTACCTGGATTGGTCAAAGTCTTGGTCATAACTTTCAGAATTTTACGAGAGATCTAATCATGAAACTACATGATTATTTGGTCTTCACAGTTACAAGGTGGTTTTGCCAGTCTTCAATTGAAATGTGTTTTTGATTTTTTTTTTGGGGTCTATCTCAATTCCTTAGCAACTGTATTAGTGAGAATGCTTGTAAATGCAATCATGAACCCTAGTGATGGTGTAGTGAAAAGCTTCACTGGGATGCATGTCCTAAGATAAACCAAGAACAAAGTAAGCATGATGCAACCATATTGAAGGTTTTGAGGGTGACCATATGCCTATGTCATTATTGATTTGTTTGAGTGTATATGGGATGAGATTGTTTCACTGACACGTGTATCCCAGGGCCACATGTGAGCCAGCGTGTCAGTGAGATATGGGAGTTGCATATGCAGAAACTCAACCTAGGCGAGCTGTATATCCTAAATATTTTCTCTTGAACAGGTTCAGGCTGTTCTTTTAGTACTTGGAGGGTACGAGGTTCCTCCTGGTTTGGTAAACATGGCTGTTCCTACGGCAAATGATGAGAAGGTATCCACACACTTCCTGCAGTAAGGATAGGTATTTCCAGTTTCTCCTAAAGCATTGTCTCATGTGCAGAATACAACTGTGGCTGCTAGAAGGGTTGCTTCCTTAATGAGATTCCATGAGAAGAGAAAGGAAAGATGTTTCGATAAAAGGATTAGATACAGTGTGCGCAAGGAGGTTGCCCAAAAGTAAGGACAGAATAATGCCCTTCTATGTTTAGCAATGATATAATTATGCTGCATGTGAAATGACCATCATAACCTACCAGGGTCCATGCATATTTAAAATTTTAAAAGACCGCATAATGAAATTTTGAAAGTATTCTTGGTTAACAAATTGTCTTCTGTCATTTGGAGGATTTGAGATATAAATTGTAAGATGTCTGCGTTTGTTAATCTCCACGTTAGATAAAATTATCAGCTTATTGCAGACTTTATTAGCTTATTGCAGACTTGAATATGTTTGACTTTGACATTGCTATACCACATAAATAGGATGTGCCCCGCCTTCTACATTCCTAATGTGAGAATATTCTTTGGTCTCTGTTTAAATAGGAATACGCATGCCATATTCAAGACTATTATCACTGCTATCCTATCCAATCTTAGGTTGCCTTTTTGTCTTGAATAGTTTCTCCAAGTACTAACATCGGAGAAAAACTAAATAGCAGTGATACCATGGATCTACCTATTGGAGTACTTAGCACTAAAGGTACAGGCATGTTATTCAAGATAATGTGCTCTGAGAAATCGCTAGAAATTCATGGTCATCATAAGCAATGTGAATGTTTAAAAGACTTATTTCAATTAGATATCAAAATGAACAAGGACTTTCTTTTTATGCCTTTTAGTCTAGGATTTTGGAAGAAGTATCATGTAAAGGCTTATATGGATTCCATGGAGAATGGAACTGATGGGTTCTATGATTTGCCATTACCATGCCAGGCACTGATTTTCCATTTGTCACTCCTTTTCCGGAACCAATGTGTTTCTTTTCATTCCTACTTGGTTCAATCCAGTTACTGTTTTTTGTTCTAATCTTGCTACAAAAGGTGCTTCTGTTTTTTTTTTTCATCATCCTGTTTACATTCTGTTGCAGCTGCCAGGGAACAAACCCTGGCCTACCTATTGCTGCTCGCCACCATTCACCACTGGGAACATATCCCAGGTTTATTTACCGTAATCATTGCATAACCATATTTTGCATTCAAGTGATCGCTACTGGGTGATGTTTTTGTTGTAAATTATTTCTGAATCTTGAATTGCACAATCTCAATAATATTTTAGGATGAAACGGCGTAAAGGTCAATTTGCTGGGAGATCAGATTTTGGTGATGGTGCCTCTTCTTCTGCAGCTTGTGTCTCTCCAGCTAACGGCGAGGATGATCATTTTCGAGAAACCCAGTGAGTTAGTTGTCATGTGCCAACTTTCACTTTGTGATTATGTGTATGTGTTACATCAGTTTCATATGCAGAAGTTTGTTGCCTTCATGTATTGACTAATGTTGGCCTGTTTTGCTAGTTGCCAAAATTGTGGCATCAGCTCAAGGCTTACTCCAGCAATGCGTCGGGGCCCAGCTGGTCCAAGGTCCCTCTGCAACGCTTGCGGCTTAATGTGGGCAAATAAGGTACATCTTTCTCTATGCCAATCATAGCACCTCTTGTCCTGTTTCTGTTTGGTACCTTTTTCCTCCTCATGTCAAAGAAAAACATCATTCTCCTTAATTTGACAAACTTCCCAATAACATATTATGATTGGTCAACAAATTACCTGATTAGCATGTGCTTGTGGGCCCTATTAGCAACATTCCTACTAGTTAACCTTTGGATTTTTCAGGGTACTCTAAGAAGTCCTCTGAATGCACCAAAAATGACTCAGCAGCATCTTGCCAATCCAAGTAAAATGGTGCGCTACGTTTGTAATACAAACTTGTTTATTTGAACACCTTTTCTTTTAACAAAGTTTATCTGAACACTGCACGTCTGATTTACTTGTGCAGGGAGATATTGATGACAAAAACTCAATTGTTCTTCCTGTGGAATATAATCAAGCCACAGTCAAAACTGACTCGATGTAAGCATGCTCTTTACTGTATGTGAAATCATTGTCTCGAAGCTGTGATGTAGTTTGGTTGGCTGTGCAAATCAGCAAATCTGAACTTCAAGTTCTGTTGAGATAAGTTCATACTGGGAGGGACAAACTCTCATGACACAATTTAGCTGGAATTTTCTTCATCTGCTTTATCAGTTCATATATAGCTGCCTAGAGAGCTTTTATTTTTTTACTCAAGAGGTCTCTCCAAAACTTTATTCGTATACAATGAAATACACAATCACTAAACCTTAATTTATTGGTCAGGATGCCAAAACAGGAGCAGAAACTGGACATACGCCCGCCCACCGAAGAAGATATCAAGGCAGTTTCATGACAAATGCTCAAACGTGTATATAAATTGAGACATAGGCTTCTGTCAGAAATTCCCGAGTTTAGGATGACAATATAAGGCAGAGAAACTAACAAAGGCAGCACCATTGCTAAAAAAATGCATGAAGTGTGTTGCCACATTTATCTCCCTACCCGATCCATATTGTATTCCTGACAGTAAAGCAGTTCTTACTCCTTACCCTGTTTCAACCTGACCAGGTGATTGGGCAGCAACTCAAAATGTTTTCCTGAATACTATGGCATTCTTGGGAAATGTTTGTTTATTGTTGTATAAACCACTTCAATGGTAATTTGCATCAACTTCAATGCAATTTATTTTATAGAAAAATCCCGTGATATTTTGGTATGTTGTAGTGGAATTATGGATTTATGGTTCGACAAACTGACACCATATCTAAAATTTAAACAGGCAATTGGTAAATTGTTCAACATCATATTCTTGTTGAGCTTTAGTATGAATAGTGTGCCATTTATTACTTATTATTTGCATTGATCACAAGAAGTATTACATCACTTTTATATCTGACTTTAGTTTTATATGGCATGCCGCATGTTTGAAGCTAAGTATCAGGACCAGGCAGAGGTAGGCTACCTCTACTTTCAAAAATCATCGGTAATGCAGTTTGAAACATGCAACCTATAATGTGAATACATGATCAAGCACATTGAATTTGGCACAAGAAACTTGAAACTTGGTTGCATACTGATTAGAATAAAAACTTTTGGTGTTAATTAAGAAAGAAAATTTGAAAAGGTTTGTGTAAATGTCCAAGAAAGAAAAAAAATGAAACGGACAATGTTCATTCATGATCTGAAACGTTGTGAGACCTTTTCAGTTCATATGACCAATCCATCAGCAATTTTCCTTTCTTGGATGACTCTGTGAATCCAGTAGCTAGGGAGCTGGTCCTCCGGTGAGGGCAGTTCAGCGGTCGCAGGCCTAGTGCAAACGCTCCTCGCGTCACTGCACTAGAGCTGGTGATTTGTGCCTGAACCTTGTATCTTTGTTTCTTCTTAATAATGAAAAAACACGTCAACAGACGTGTTCTCGTAAAAAGATCTGCAACGTTGTTTGAGCCAAATACAGCATAGTGAGACAAGATTTGTAGACAAAAGTTCTCTTGTATAGACAAGCAGAACCTCTTGACTGCTATACAGCATCTTATTGTAAAACTACAAAGAACTCCTATGATTGTTTCTGCCGCAAATACCAGCCTTGTGAGACCTTTTCAGTTCATATGACCAATCCATCAGCAATTATCGAGTTCTTCAGTACGACAGTGACGCCGGTTCTGATGTAGAAGCCTTCGGAGGTTCTATCAGCTTCCTCTACACCCTGTAAAACGTAACAGCCAGCCAGATTTGGTTTAGAGTTGATGATACATTCTCTATGAAGATGTATGCGTTAGAAAAATAAAAAGAACAATGCTGGCAGAGGGAAGGAAGATACTACAACTTGCGATAACACATACATTGTGGCCATCTTATTTTGTTGCAAGTTGCAAACTGCTGGTTATTTGACTGATTTCAGATACTTTTAGTCTGCTAGTCATAAAGAGGTAGAGATCAAGCTTACTTCAGAATTGGAGATTATCACATTCTTCCCTATCCTCGCATTCTTGTCTATGATACACTTTCTGCAGAGAGCAAAAAGGAAGATGTTAGGATTGAATAGTAAAAGATGATGTCAAAGGAGTTAGTGGTAGAAGTAAACTTTTTCAGAGCACAAAAACGAAGATATTAGGATTCAATAGTCAAATGAGTTAGCGGTAGAAATAAAATATGCATTCATACTGAATCGTTGTATTCTCTCCGATCCCAATAGGAACATTTCCTTCTGCAAGCAGTTCTCCTCTTTCCGCGTCAGTTTCATAATAATCAGCGCCAAGCATTACAGTATCCTTCAGGGAAAAAGATGAAAAGATACATTAGCTGCTAACTACAGGACATTGGATCAAATCCATAACACTTGCTACTTGTTTCTCTATATTTGTATAATGAAATACTTCAGCCAATAAAGGAAGAGATCTAACCTTGAGGTGCACATTGGAGCCTATCCGAGAACGAACTCCAACAACACTATGTTCTATCCTACAGTTATCCAAGAAACATCCGTGGGAAATGATTGAATCAGTGATCTGCAGTGACACCAACGTGTTAGAAGGGGGGCACATCAAGCAGATAGGATTTCAAGGAATAGTAAATGAAAAGGGCAGACCCAGTGCGGAAGGCTCCCACATGAGTGGGGTCTGGGAAAGGAAAAACCCGAGGCAAGCCTTCCCCCGCAAAATCTACGGAGAGGCTGCTTCGAACCCGTGACCTGGTGACTCAGTGAGACAGCTCTCACCACTGCACCAGGCCTGCCCTTCAAGGAATAGTAAATGAATGCCCCAAAAATCAAAATAAGGAAGCAAAGGCATGGAAGCATGGTACTAATTAATAACAAACGTGAAATAAATAATATAATAAAGTGCAAAAAAGGACGACCGTGATGACCCATTTTAGTACAGATGGGCATAACACCTTACTATTGTTGACCATAGATGGTGGTAGGTTTCTCCGTGATGTGTACATTGGTTTGTCATCGTCGTAGAAACTGAACCTTGGAGGCTGCATGGTTTAATCAAAGGTGAGCAGAAGAGTTCAGTGTTTCACAATCACCGCAACACCACAAATGTTCAAAAGAATAATGCCAGAACATGAATGAACAGATGTGGTATAAGGGTTTGCTTCAGTACTCCTTTTCTAGAGAAATATAAAAAACATAGAGCAAAGCAGTACAAAGAGTTACTCGAAGAGTTTGTAGTAAGCCAGTAATCATAAAAGGCATACCTGTTCAGCAAGAGCAAGGTTTGCCTCAAAGAAGGACTTAATAGTTCCGATATCTTCCCAGTAATCATTGAAAAGATAAGCCTGAAGTGTCCACCGTGATATCAAGTCAAGATTTTGGGACAAGATTATGAAACCGGATTAATACATAACTAAGATGGTGATATGCCTGTCTTTAAATTGTGCAAGATTTGCAGCACAACTGTAACTTAACAAGGAAAATGAAGGTGTTGCTGAAAAAGTTCTGACATACTAGCATGCATGACATTTTTTGTTGAATGGTCATGCATGGCATATTAAATTTCCGACTGTTTGTTAGCAGGAATGCAAATGGCAAAGTGATGTGATTTTGTTTTCTTGAACTATGCAACCATGCTTAAATAGTGTAATTACTTAAGTTGAATGCACCGACCAGTTCAACCCAAAAGCTTAAGCTGATGGGAAGAGATGGGCAATTCACTTATATTGCAACACTCCCCCTCACGTGGAGGTGGGAAGAGATGGGCAATTCACTTATATTCCAACACTCCCCCTCATATGGAGGCTCCCTCAGGCCTCAAACGTGGAATAGGAGCAACCAGCAATTATTTTATTTTAATTGCGTTAACCAGGAATCGAGACCTCTCTCTGATACCATATTAAGTTGCATGTATCGACCAGTTCAACCCAAAAGCTTAAGCTGATGGGAAGAGATGGGCAATTCACTTGTATTCCAACAATTACTACTTGGAGCCCAATATGCTAAATTCGTATGTGCACGTACCTTTACATTGATTTCTTTTGCTGCAGCAGGAATAATTTCAGAACCAAAATCATTTGCAGTGGGAAAACGCCATCTGACCAAACGATGATACAGTCCAGCTTAAGATTGACGAGCAATTAAGCAGTTAACTGAATAGAATATTAGAACATAAATGGAGGATCCTAAATCCCCTTTGTCTGGATAATCACATAGATAATTTAATGAAACTTTGTGAGTTCCAATGAGTTCAATTTACATACCTTAAAAGGTTTAGGAGTATGTCTTTCTTAAAAATATAGACCCCCATTGAAGCTATGTAAGGTTTCTTTTCTGCTTCCTCCTCTGATAAGCCTAGCACCGTGGTGTCAACTTGCTGCAGACAATAAAAATAATAAAAATGGCTCAAGAGCTTCTGTTTACTTTAGTGTAATATACTAGGACAACTAAAATTTGTGCACCCTAAGAACTACAGTCAGTTGGTTGGAATGCAGGAAAACAAAGTCCAACTTACCATTGCCTTTAATTCGTCTCCTTTTGGTTTCTCACTGAATGAAATAACTCTTCCAGTGTCGTCTATCTTCATTAGGCCAAAATCAGATGCCCGGCTGACATAGAAAAGAAACTCATTCATGATAACATCCACAAAGAGACAAGGACCAAAAGGGGTATGGAAATACATGAAAGAGAGTTTAGCAGATGCTCAAAATCAAGATTTTGCCTTTACCATATCAAAGAAAGTATAATTAATCTAAACATCTTCTATGGAAAGCCACTTGAGTAGTCCTGTACAGTGACTACAGGCTACTGAAATGGAAAGAGACTCACCTGCCATCAATTGGCAAACAACAGATGCTGATGCCTGCACCTCTTAGCCGATGACTCTGCAAGTGAAATCACCAAAAAAACAATTTTAAAATGTACTACTTACTGGGAAAAAAATATTTTCCTTAGGTAGTTACCTGAACAAAGTCCATGTAGTCCATTCGGTAGAGATGGTCACCAGAAAGAATCAACACATCTTCAATGTCTTTAGATTTTGCATCCTATAAAACATTAATGTATTACCATTTCTATAAGGAACAATTTTGTGGTATAATAATATAAAGTAAAACAATAGGGAACTGGGCAGTCCCTCTGAACTGAACTTTAATTGATGGGATGAGATGACCCTCAGATTTGAACTGATGATTAAAAAAAAGGCAAAGATGGTTTTTGTCATGCAAGTAATAGAATATTTTCTTTCGCTTCGGGTTTTTTATAACTGCTTCGGGTATTTGATACTAAACTGACACCATATGGGCATGTTTGTACCGTCATGAAAAAGAAAGCATCGAACCGAACTCTTACATCGAAAAGCCAGTCGAACTGCCGAACTGCATCAGCAGTACCCTGAAACCACCTCTTTCCCTCCGATCCAGGCCTCTGGGTCGCTGCTAGAACCTGAAAAACAGTTGAATCCCGATCTGTCAAATACCCTTTTCAGATCACCAGAGTTGAAGTGTTGAACCACGAATCCTTGTGGCTTTGTCAGTCATTCCCTAGAGTACTATATACATGATCTGGAATCACACCTCGACGAATCCATCTCCGAAGGCCACGCCATTGGTGCAATCGTAGGCCCTGGAGAGGTGGCGGTTAAGGGATTGCGAGTTGAACTGCGTGAGGATGTACACCTTGTTGATCCCACTGTTTATGCAGTTGCTCATCGGCACGTCGATCAGCCTGTACGCGCCGCCAATTGGCACCTGAAATGCAGAGGAACGGATGAGCTGCATGTCTCCCATTCCACGAATTTGAATCCTCAGACACAGCCGACTCACTCACCGCGGGCTTGGCCCTGCGCTTGGTGAGCGGGAAGAGCCTGGTCCCGGCGCCACCGCCGAGGATGACCGCCACCACCGTCTTGGAGTTCCTAGCCTCCAGCGCCTGGTCCTCCGACTGCACCACGCACCCCAAACGAAGCCCTCGTGAACTGTCATGGGCTCATGGCTAGCTAGAGCGACGGCCGAGAAGCAGAAGCAGAAAAAGAACCACTAAAAAACAATTGACGCTGAGAAAGCAAACTGACGGCGCCCACGGCGGCGGTGGCGGAGGTGGTGGTCTCGGTGGTCGCGACGGACATCCGCACGGAGAGGCGTCTGCTGCCGCGGGGCGCCACCCGCGGGCGCGGCGTCACGCGCGCGGCGCCCCCGCCGAGCACGCGCACGCCGGCCGCAGCTGGCGCGGTAGCGGCCACGCGCAGGCCCATCGTCGCGGATAGCTGACGCCGAACACCCGAAGCCGACTGGACCTAGGTCGCTCGCGCGCTCTCTCCCTCGACAATGGCCGAGAGAAGCGGCGGTCGTCGTGGCGTCTCCAAGCTCCCCGTGAGTTTTAAAACTTTCCAGCAGCGCTCGGCAGCGGCATGGAGGCGGTGGAGGTGGAGCGGAAGAACGGAAGGCGAGGCAGCGACGAGTAAAAAGCTCTCTCAGCACGGGTTCGCCTCACTGATCTGTTGGCCCTACGCGGAGTGCGGCGGGGCTGTCAGTGAGTGCGGGTGGGCGTGAAGTCTGTGGGAGGAGTGGGAGGGGTTTCTCTCGCTGGCTCGCCAGTCGGCACGCTATCCGGCGCGAGGCCTGACATCCACACGTCGCCTCCGCCTGCCGTTCTCGCCTCGCCCGCTGTTGGCTTCTTTTGGAAGCTCCCGTGCCTCTCATGGGACTCTGCGGGCCCACCGCAGCCACCAGCCAGCCACGGAACGAACGACTCATCAGCTGCTCCAGGGCTTCGGCTCGGCCCCGGTGGCGATTGGCATATTCCAGTTCTTTGTGCCGGCATTGGACGCTTGCACGCTGCACTGACGCACTGTCACCGCTCTCACGGCTCGCGGTCGCGGCCACCCGAGTGGCGCTAGCGGCGGACCGGCGGTGGACGGCTCAGGAGAGCGGCAACCGAGTTTGGACTTATTTGGAGCCTCGTCGGAACTCGGAGAGCTGAAGTCCTTGGAAATAATGACAAAATAGGTTTTGTTTTGTTTTTTAGTAATAGACGGAAGAGATCAAAATATCCATTTATACCCTTAGGTATTTACGGAGTAACTTGTTATATATACACATGATTAAATTTAAAAAGCGTGCTATATAAAAGATCTAAGAATTATCGACCTGTTCGTTGGTTGGTTTTTGGCCTGATAAGTCCGGCTGGTGCTGGTTTGTTGTGGGAGAAAAATATTGTTGGCTGGTTGATAAGCCCTGGTTGAAACCAACGAGCAAACGGGCCGTATATTTGAATTAGTCATGAACAAAATGGGTTAGTAATGAAAGGTAACAAAGCATGCAAAACATTGTTAATGAATATGGATGGGTTAGTTCTTAAAAAAGGCGGGCTTGATTGGATTTTATCAACTCAAAACATTCTAGGGGTTATTTAAAGGAAAATTGGTTGTGTAGCATCGAAAGATTGCGATCTCCGTAAAATACCACTGAAAGTTTGCGCCCCGTAAAATACCACTGAAAAGTTAGACTATAAACTAAAAGTACCATTCCGTTAAAATAAAGTCACAGAGTTGTTAACTTGGACACAGATACCCCCCGTGAGAACCAAATAAACAGCTATATGTGCCCCAACATTTAAATATAAAAGAACACATATATTTCAGTAGCAATATAAGCACATTTCCGCACATACATTTTGGCACATATGAAGACATTTAATATAGGGATCCCTTTAATATAAGCACACATGAACACGTACATTCACAACAGCCACTTCTCAACAGAGTACTAGTTAAGACAGCAAAGGGGACAGGTCTGCTAACACATATAGTAATTCAACACATACATCTATAGTCTAACTAGATCATAATAGTAATACAACACATAGCATTTGCACTAACAAAGCCATTGCTTAGCCTACGATAAGCCTTCTTGTAATTTCTTCTAGGGATATGTCTGCTGCTGCCCTGCTCCTTGTTATAGGTCCTGGACTGAGAAGACTAGTGGAAGCTGCCATCCTTCTTGTTGTTGGCCCTAGACTAACAGGTGGTTGTGTGACTAAGGAAGTAAAAGGTTGAAGGGGACAGTGACGTCTAAGAGAGGAGTGAATTAGGCAACTTAAAATTCTACTTCTAAACTATGGTATCTTTTTCTAACCTTAGCAAAACATATACAAAAGATAAACTATCTAAATGTGCAACTACGATTTTACTAGTGTGTTGCTATCTCTACCAAAAAAGGAGTAATACAAACAATGTAAATGCGGAAGCTAAAGAGCAAGGTAGAGATATACAAACTCCCGTCGACGACTCCGGTACTTTTACTGAGGTATCGAGAAGCGCGCAAGCCTTTCCCTAGTTCTCGTTGGCGCCCCTCGCAAGGAATCTCTCGCAAGGGCCAAGCTCCCGGTCGGGTAACTCCGTGGATAGCCTCGGGCCTTCCCTATGCGCAAGTAGGTCTCCGATGCGTCTTCCGGTAAGCCTCTCCTGGATGCTTCTCACCGTCTTCACTATCAAGCTTCCGGCCAAAACAACGTGGGCCTTGTTCCCTCCGGTACACGGTGGCGGCCACACCACAAACGCGGTTGGTGTGATCTCGCAAGACTACAAGCCCCTCCGATATACAACAATGGTGCGCGCAAGCACCGAGTGGTAAGAGGTATGCAAACCTCACTAAACACTAGGCCTAAATCTAGAGCAAGTGCATAAGCGATGGTCTAATCAACATAAGCACTTCGCAAAGCATCTATGCTAATCACCTAATGAATCACTAAGCACTATGCAAGTGGAGATCAATAAAATGGTGTATCAACACCCTTGGTATGTTTCCTCAGCTCCACACTTATCAAATAGCCGGTTGAGGGGTCTATTTATAAACCCCACTGAGAAAGTAGTCATTGGGGACGAAATCCCGCTTTTCTGCTACTGACCAGACGCTGCTTTCGTCCTAACTGGACGTGTCCGGTCGTCCCGACCGTTAGAGCCGCGATCAACTGATCGGACGCTGCCAGCGTCCGGTCACATGCCACCGAACGCGTCCGGTCGCAATTTTGCCGCTCTGGAACCTTTCTGTACTCGATCAGACGCTGTAGTTCTGCGTCCGATCGATTTGCCGCCAGCGTCCGGTCAGTACTGAATGTGTTGCCGGTGATGATGAACAGTACCATCGATGCGTTCGGTCAATTTCAGTACTCAACGTCCGGTCACTGCTGCTGACGCCTGCTGTTTGCCGAGCCTCTTGATCGGAGCGTCCGGTCGCTTTCCGCCAGCGTTCGGTCCAGCGTCCGGTCACCTCTATGAGCTTATTTCTTCGCGATCTTGCATCTAGCTCGGTTCCTATCTTCATGCTTGATATCTTGAGTCTTCTCTTCTGCTTCTAGGGTCTTGCTTAAGGTGTTGATCATCGAATCATCACGTCGCCTTCGTCCAAGTCACATCTTGCAGCCTATTGAACTACAAAACAATCACTTGCAAATTCATTAGTCCATTTTGGCTGTGTTGGTCATCAAATACCAAAATCCAAAGTAAATGGGCCTAGGGTCTATTTTCCTTACAAAGGTGCATATACTTTCTTATATTTTTTGGAGCTTTTTTGTAGCTAGATGTACTGCCCTTTTCTTTCCTTTTCCTACACATCAGGAAGGTATCAACCATATTTAATAAAAGATCATGTTACAACAAAAGTATAGGGGGTCAATTTACCTTGAATTAGTAGGAGCTACCGGTGGCAATTCAACAGCGAGTTCAGTAGGTGGCTCACTACAACCCTTCTCAATATGCCCAAACTGGAAGCATCTTTTGCATTGGTAAGGACCCCTTTTTCCTGACACACCCTTACTTTTGATCCTCTTCACTCTTGGCATACCTGCAGACCTTTCAAGCTTCGGAGGCACCAATACAAACCCAGGATCAACAATAGGCCGCTATGACTTGTCAACCATTGGGTTGACCTCAAACTGATAAGTAGCCTTGAAATACTGAACTGAGTAGTAATCATGAACAAAGTCCTCAAGTTTAATTTGTCTAAGGGAACCTATAAATGCTATAACATGAGTGCAAGGTTTCCCATAAATATTCCACTGACCACATGAACATGTCTTGCTTTTAAGGTCCACAGCATGCCTCCAAGGATAGTTGTCTTTAGTCATTCTAGATATCTCAGCCTTGAGACCACCACTCCCCTTAATTGTGTACCTCAAGTTTCTACTCTTCATCTTCAGCTCATTTGTAACACTAGGGAGAATTGACCCTTCAAGTTTGTTAGCTATAAACTGCCTCATAGCTATCTTTTCCATGATCATACCCCTAATTGTGTCCACAAGGACATCCACTAGGAACCCTTTGGTATCTTTAATCCAGTTGTTGAAGGACTCTGATATGTTGTTGTTCACATAATCAACCTTGCACTCCCCTGAGAACTTAGCTCGAGACCAAAGATGTTTGTGCTTTGCTTGTAAGTAAGGAATTGCTGTTGGACAATTCTCTCCAATTTTGTCCCAAAGCCATTGATACCTCCTAGTACTACATGCCCAAGGACAAGGCCACATGTACTTTAGCACATCTCCATCGAAGTGCTTTCTAAAATTATGCATGATGTGCCTAAAACACTCCCTATGCTCAACATCACCTTGGAAGACATTATGGATTGCTTTCTCTAAGCCTTTGCAAGCATCTGTGTGTATTGAGTCCATGTGGAGTTCCAATTACTCTCTTTAATTGCTTTAGAAACCATGTCCAATCAGCTTTTGTCTCCTTGTAAAAAATTCCATATGCCACTGGGTACATCTAATTATGTCCATCAATTGTTGTTGCTACAGCTAGCTGTCCATTATATTTACCTATGAGGTGAGTAGAATCAACCCCAAGGTATGGCCTGCAACCAGTAAGAAATCCATTCACACATGCTTTGATGGCCATAAACATCCTACAGAAATAGACTCAATCATCCTTTTTGTTCTTCTTGTAATCAATCTCTACTATGCTTTCAGGACATGTAGCTTCTAACTCAGCTTTGAAACTCCATAACATTCTAAAACTTTCATCCCAAGTGCCATGTAGGCCTTTTAGTGCAAGTTGCCTTCCTTCCCACACCTTATTATATGACATTTTGATCGGGAACTGTCTTTCAAGCTCAACTTGAAACTTCTTTGCTCCCAACTCTGGAGTACACTTGAGTACCTCTGTTGCTCTATTCGCTATCCACGCTTTAGTAGCCTCTTTACCCCTCACTTGGCTGGTGCTAGCACAAGTATGGCTAGAACCTATTGACACAACCTAAAAAAATAGACGATATGGGATCTGAATTTAGTTGAAGGGACCATGATGCCTAAGAGGGGGGTGAATTAGGCAACTTAAAATTTTAGCTCTAAACTATGGCCTCTTTTTCTAACCCTAGCAAAACCTATGCAATAGATAAACTATCTAAAAGTGAAACTACGATTTTGCTAGTGTGTTGCTATCTTTACCGTAAAAGGAGTAATGCAATCAATGTAAATGCGGAAGCTAAAGAGCAAGGTAGAGATATGCAAACTCCCGTCGACGACTCTGGTATTTTTACCGAGGTATTGAGAAGCGCGCAAGCTTCCCCCTAGTCCTCGTTGAAGCCCCTCACAAAGAATCCCTCGCAAGGGCCAAGCTCCCGATCGAGTAACTACATGGATAGCCTTGGGCCTTTCCCATGCGTAAATGGGTCTCCGACATGCCTTCCAGCAAGCCTCTCCCGGATGCTTCTCGCCGTCTTCACTATCAAGCTTCCGGTCAAAATGCCGCGGGCCTTATTCCCTCCAGTACACGGTGGCGGCCACACCACAAACGCGGTTGGTGTGATCTCGTAAGACTACAAGCCCCTCCGATGTACAATAATGGTGCGCGCAAGCACCGAGTGGTAGGAGGTATGCAAACCTCACTAAAACACTAGGCCTAAACCTAGAGCAAGCACATAAGCGGTGGTCTAATCAACCTAAGCACTTCGCAAAGCACCTACGTTAATCACCTAATGAAACACTAAACACTATGCAAGTGGAGATCGCTAAAATGGTGTATCAACACCCTTGATATGTTTCCTCAGCTCCACTCAACTCAAATAGCCGGTTGGGGGTTGTATTTATAAGCCCCACTGAGAAAGTAGCCGTTGGGGATAAAATCCTGCTTTTCTGCTACTGACCGGACACGTCCGATCGTCCCGACCGTTGAACCGCGAACAACTGATCGGACGCTGCCAGTGTTCGGTCACCTGCCACCAGACATGTCCGGTCGTAGTTTTGCTGCTCTGGAACCTCTCTGTACTCGATCAGACGCTGCTGCCCTACGTCCGATCGGTTTTGCCGCCAGCGTCCGGTCCAGCGTCCGGTCGCTGCTACTGACGCCAGTTTGCTGAGCCTCTTCATCGGCGCATCCGGTCTAGCGTCCGGTCACCTCTGCGAGCTCGTTTCTTCACGATCTTGCGTACAGCTTGGTTCCTATCTTGATGCTTGGACTTTGCTTGATATCTTGGGTCTTCTCTTGTGCTTCTAAGGTCTTGTTTATGGTGTTGATCATCAGATCATCACATTGCATTCGTCTAAGTCACGTCTTGCATCCTATTGAACTACAAAACAATCACTTGCAAATTCATTAGTCCAATTTGGTTGTGTTGGTCATCAAACACCAAAATCCAAAGTAAATGGGCCTAGGGTCCATTTTCCTTACAATCTCCCCCTTTTTGGTGATTGATGACAACACGACCAAAGTAAGCAAATAATAATAATTTTTGAAATTATAAAACTACCTACTTGTTAGGATGCAATGCAAGGGGCAAGTTTATGTGATGCTAAAAGATATTACTTTGTAAAACTAAAGGGTACTACATAAAAGTAATCTTGCCCTTATAAATTGTCCCCATGTGGCATTATGGATTTAAGCCTTGCTCCCTACGAATTCTCCCATTACATAGGCAATCTATAATCCACTACCCTCTCTTTCTCGGACCATTACCACATGTAGACCATATTTGGTCCTATAAATTAATGTTTGCCTTTGGTCCTCTAAATTCTCCCCATTTGGAATCAAACACCAAAAAGGAAGACATTAGTAACACAAGGGAGGGTCAAACTTTGTGATCCTTTGTATGTAGAGTGGAATAGGTCACAAAATTTGACTCTCATATTACATAGATTAAGCTCCCCCTAAATATATGCATACATATAATAGAAAGCAAAGTATATGCCTAATTAGCAAGTTATTTCTCAAGGGAATTTAATCTATATAATGCATGGAGAAAGCATATAAATATCAAAATGAAGTCAACATGATGATATTAGTTTAGAAATACCACATGTGGAAACCAAATTGATTTCTACCACTTGCAATGGATGGTGAATATTTGAAGTGTGATGCTTAACTCCGGGGACTCCATTTTCCTTGCAATGAGACTACTACACACATGATAAACTTGAAAAGGGTATTAGTCTCAAAGCATCTAACTTGTAGATTGACCTCCCCCTAAATTTGTGCACACACAAGTGTGGAATACTTGTAGGAATCATGCATATTGTTTTTAGAATAAAAAATACCACTTGAAATATGACATCTCATGAATGTGAGAATCACTTTTCAAAGATGATATTCAGGGGAAATTATCTATAATTTGGACTTTGACACATATTAGATGAACAATTAGAAGACAAGCTATGTGCCGTGCTCCTAAACAATTTTAAACCATGTAGGTTTGCTCCAAGGGTTAAGAGTGAAACCGAGCAAGCCGACCATAAGATATACCTAGTGTATGCATAACAAAGAGATATAAGCATGCAAATGCAAACCTAGGCATGTAAAATAACTAGATGCTTAAAGATACCAAATTGTAAGAAATGCCAATTTAAAGGAATACCAATTTGAAGTAATAATATCTAGTTACCTAACATGGGAAGGGAAATTTGGGTCCATAGTATTCACTAACCCACTTGGCAATGACTTTATCCAACATGATGCACCCCATGAAATGCACCCATACTTTGCCAAGTCTCCAAATTCCCCGATGTCCAATCGGACTCCTCACTTCCCTTTCGGGATCCAAACCTTCTTGGTGCTCTTCATATTTGAAATGATTTCCTTTGGCACCCAAAAACGTTTGACCCCATTGTTGGCTTGCTTATTCACCTTGATGGCCACCATCTTGTCATTCTTCTTCTTCTTCAAGAGATAGGGTGTGGAGGCCTTCTTGTCCACCTTGTTCGTGTAGGTGTTGGAGAGCTTGCTTGTTTGCTTTTTGTTTTTCTCTTTTTTCTTTGCTCCTCCCCCATTCTTCACCTTGCACTCATAGGACTTATGATCTTCCTTGTGGCACACGTAGCAAACCATGGTTTGTCCTTCATCAAGCTTCTTCACTCCCTTGACGGTGTTATCTTAATGAAGTTGGGCTTGCTTCGCCTTGCCTTTCACTTGAGTCAAGTCCTTGGTGAGGCGAGCTACTTCTTGCTTGAGATGCTCATTCTCCTTTGCAACCTCTTGTGTGCATGTATCTACAACAATTTTCTCAACACAAACTTGGTTGCACAAGGATGAGTCTAAACATAAATCATTACAAGAAGTAGAGGCATCCTTTTTAGACATGTTAAACATAGAACTTTTCTTTTTAGATGCCTTGGTGGGGGTGGAACTAATGGCTTCAAGGTTAGCAACTTTATTAGTTAGCTCATCACAATATTTGCACATGGTTTCCATTTTAGCAAGCAAACTTTTATAAGCATCTTGTGAGCTAGCTAACTTTTCTTTTAATTTTTCATTTTTCTTTACAAGTTGCTCATCATTGATTGTGCATGCATTTGTTGTTGCACTAGCCTTAAGTTGCTCAATTTTAGTAGATAGTTCAACATTGAGATTAGCAAAGTTCTCATATTGTTCAACCAAAGTTTTGTATGCTTCTTGTGAACTAACTAGCTTTTCTTTTAATTTTTCGAGCTTCTTTTGTTGACTAGTGCAAACTTTAGCATAATTAAGATTTTGTTGCACAATTTCATCATAAAAAGGCAATTCATCATCACTATCACTCTCACTAGAAGATGAGCTTTCATTACCTCGTGCCATAAGGCACACACGAGAAGAGCTTGATGATGAGTGCTTACGGCCTCACCTCTTGTGATGGTGTTCTTCTTCACTTGAAGAATCATCCCATGACCTTATTGATGTGAGGGCTTGGTTCTTGCACGCCTTCTTCTTTGTTTTGGGTGTGGGCTTGTTTGGACAAACTTCCACAAAGTGCCCCAACTCGTCGCATCCATAGCATCCTCTCTTTCTTTGCTCATTTCTTTGATTGGTGAAAATGAGATCTTGGATTTGGATGGGCACACCCTTGACATTGAGCCTTTGGATCATCTTCTCCACCTTATTGATTAGTTTGATTGATTCTTCATCAAGGTCGAAGGTGGAGGAGGAAGATTGATCATCATCACTTGATTCTGCATCATCATCATCATCATCATCCTCATCTTCTTCTTCATCTTCACTTGAGGAGCTTGAGCTTGAGCTTGTCTCAACTTGCTTGCCCTTCATCTTCTTTTTCTCGCTACATGCGAGAACTTTGCCTTTGCTTGATGAAGAGGCTTCTTCTTAACCCATCTTGTGTGACATTTCAAATGCCACTATCTTGCCAATGACTATGGTCGGGGTCATGGTACTCAAGTTCTCCATGTTGTGAAGGATGGTGATGATGCTT